AGACAGGCCACCCCTCTGTCACATCCATCTTGTTTGCCCCTCTGAGGTGCCTGTATACAGGACAGAAAAGGAGCAATAAAAATCAGCATAGTCTTTGAAGCCTCAACACAAGGCACGGATATGCTGGCTCATCTGACCCTGGGTAAACTGAAAACATAGATATGAGAAAGAATGATCAAGGCAATAAACTGACCTCGAGTCTGCGAGAACTGCCCTGGCTAGTACCTATATTGATATGATCACACACAGTCGTCCCTGGGAGAGGAATCTCCCACTGAGAAAAGAATGCCCAGTACTCCCAATTTAGTTCTCTCTCTTTCAAGTGTAAATTAAGTTCACAACTCCCTTGTAAGAACTGGCGTCACAAAGACGGATCAGCACCATTTGGTATCACAGATAAGAAAGAGAAATACGTGACCCCAGGGGTATAAAGATGGGTCCAGCAGCACACTCACTACCATCTATCTGCTGGTCGGGTTAGGTGATTGACCTCCTGAGGTCCACAGAGATGCCCACCTTGTATTTCGTCTTTCCGAGAAATTGAGGGACCGATCCTGGCCTGACACGCTGGGACCGAGTGATGCAGAAGGGGGTAAAAATTGTACCCATATTTGTCCTTTTGTTATAGAGCATGCATAGAATAGAGCTCTTTAAAGATTAAGCTGTCACTTGGGACCATTATCTTCTATCTTCCTTCTTCCTGTGTAACCTTAAGATCTGTATTTGTTAGCAGTTAAGACATAGCATATGATTTATAAGCTTCTTTAATAAACCTGTAACTGTTTAAGCTTGAACCTGACTCCTTCAGTTGCTGTAACAGAACCAAGCACAATTTAAAAGAACTTCAGCCGGTCATAAGGGACAGATATAGGAAGAGCTGGGGCATTTGGATCGTGTCGCTTCCAGAGGACAGATCCGTAGGGGCATCTCTCAGTCTTCCCTAGGCTGCCCGCTGCGAAGGGATCCTGTATCCAAGCAATCAAAATCTGAGATGTAATAAGCTCTTCCAATAAACTCTGAGGCATCTGTCAGCCTGTTGGCTACCCTCCACGAAGGGATCCCAATCCTAGCGGACAAAGACACGGATGTTAAACTCCTTGGGGGCGCCCATCAGTCTCTCCTAGACTACCCACTGCAACGGAGCCTTGTGTCCCAGCAGTTGAAGACTCGGGTGTAATACACACACACACACACACACACACACACACACAGCCCTGACCATCGGCTGACACCCATGGGCTGGATCCAGAACACCAAACCGCCAGATCTGGCCTGCAGCCTAGCAGAAGCTTTGAGTAGGATCACTGCCTTCCATGCCACAGCATGCCAGTCAAAATGACTGGATGCAGGGGCCATGTGCTTCTCTGAGCATTATGAGCCCCTGGAAACTGGCCAATGAGAGCTGCCTGGGCCGTGCCTGTGGCACAGGCAGAGTGCAAAGTACCGCACCTCTGGGGTTTGAGGCACCTCCTGGGCTGCCGGCTGGGAGCCACCTAGTGAGCGTCTCCCAACTAGAGCCTGCTTCTGGCACTCCAGTCCCTCCCTCCCCTAAGCCTCTGCTCCCCACCCCCAAACTCCCTCCCAGATACCACACAATCTCCTACACCCCAATCCCCTACCCTGAGCTCCCTTCTGCACCCAACCTCCACCCCAGACCTTAACTTCTTCCATTATTATCATGGAAGAGTGCAGTCCTGGACCACAAGTTCTTGGAGTAGCTCCACATAAAAAATTCCTGCCCACCTCTGTTCTACACAGAAGTCCCACAATGTGAAGGCTTCATAGTATAGGGAACAGTTTGTTGATATAGAATGATACTGCTGTGTTGTCCATCAAAACTGATAGGCAATGCCCTCCTAAGGGTATGTCTACACTAGCCCCCTAGTTCGAACTAGGGAGGCTAATGTAGGCATTCGAAGTTGCAAATGAAGCCCGGGATTTAAATATCCTGGGCTTTATTTGCAACTTCAAATGCCTACATTAGCCTCCCTAGTTCGAACAAGGGGGCTAGTGTAGACATTCCCTAAGTGTGTCTGGAAGGTCTGGCATATCAGGTACACTACCACTGGTTCTCTGACTTTGATATGGAGAGCCAAGTCAACCTGAGACCAGAGATCTTAAGTGGCAGGGTAGATTCCAAGGGAAGTCAGGCTCCCCATCCCAAGTTTGAGGCATCTGCCACTAGTGCCAGAAATGGTTGCAGCTTGAGGCCACCCATGGGCTTTCAGTATTAGAAAATACAAGGATTAAAAACCCTTGCTCCTGTGGTCCTGAGGAACCTCCTGCAGTGTCCCAAGGGAAAGGAATTACTGCATCTCCTGATTAAGAAACTGATTGTGAAAAGAGTCCCTGTAGAGGGACAGGGAAGGGGGGAGGAGGGCATGTGAAAGGGTACAGAACCAGATGGAGTATCTCCTTTCTACTATGCAAAGCACCCAGTGATCTAAAGTAATATGGGACTATACACAATAGAAAGAAGATAGTCAGGATCAGAAGGTAAGGTAGGGTGGATCCAGTTGGGGTTCTACAAAGTAATGTCATGCTCAGCCACCCCTTCAAAAGGCCTGCCTCTGGCCTCATGAAAGTTTTTGCTGGCCTGAGAATGGGTACGGCCATTTCCTACTGCCCCTATTCCTCCTACGCAATCCTTCCTGACAGATCTGTGGGTAGTGGAAGCATGGATGTGGGTGCCTTTTAAAGTGCCTCCACTTTGTAGTGTGAGTATGGAGGCCTAGCAATGTAAAAGTAGCTTTTGAGTCCTTCAGACTTTGCAGCCTTTTATCCATTTTGTCTAAGAACAGAGCCATGCCTTCAAAGGGGAGGCCTAGAATAGTTTGTTGCACCTCATGTAGCAGGCCTGGGACTTGAAGCCAGGTGCTCCTCTGCATGGCAAAGCCTATGTCCATGATGTGAGTAGCCGCATCTACTGAATTCAATACAGCTTGTAACCAGTCATGAGAGATGAACTTCCCTTTCTCCACCAGGGCTGAAAACTCAGCATGGGAATGTTGCAGCAATAGCCCTGCAAATTTTGCCATTGCACTGCAAGTGCTGTGGCAGAACCTGCTAACGGTTGCCTGCTGGTGGAGATGTTGAGTTGCAATCTTCCAGTGGAATAGACTTTTCTGCCATAAAAGTCTAGACCCAGGGTGTCTAACAAACTAGCCACTAGCCACATGTGTCTATTTGGCCAGTTGAGTATGGCTAGTTGGCTTGAACAATGTGGCTATTTGGCCGGTTGAGTGTGGCTACTGCTTCGGAACTGGTTGGACACCACGGGTCTAGACTCCAATTTTTCAGGGAGGTACCCTGGAAGGCCTGATGCATATGTTGGCTGGCCGTATCAACCATGAGAGAATTGGACAGGAGATGAAGTATACAAGTGCTCATATCCCTTGGGGAACACAAAGTAGCACCTCTCATTGCATTTAGCTATGGGAGGCACTGAGGCAGGGATCTGCCAAAAGGTCTTAGTAGTGTTTGAGATAGTCTTAATGAGGGGCAAAGCCATGTGAGCAGAGGCAGAAGGGGAAAGCATGTCCACTGCTGGGTCTCCAGTCTCCGCAACTTCCTCTGTCTGAATGCCCAGGTCTTGGGCAATCCACCACAACAGTTGTTGTAGGACGCTGTTATCCTCCAATGGTGGAGTGGTGGTCATGTCTGCCAGTGCCTTGCCTGGTGAAGGGGTCCCAATCAGTGGCTGCTCCTTGTCCTCTACACCCATGGGGTCCCAACACACCTGAGTCTTGTAAGTGCATGACCTACTAAATGGTGCTGTGCCTCTCTGTGCTGGGACACATAAACCAGTGTGGAAACTGCTGGTGCCAAAGTTGTGCTTGACGTTGAATTGATGATCGATGCCACAGCGTTGGTGGTGTCAGAACTGTTATCAGTCCAATGATGGAGCTGGGGATGGTGCCAAGACAAACAGGAACAGAGTTGGTGTCAACTGTATCAGTGCTAAAAGCATTAGTATGTTAGCATCAGGTGGAGCTGGTGGTGCTGAAGGGGGCATGAACATGGTTGATACGACCTTTGCTTTGATAAAAAGACCAGGAAGTCTAAAAGGGCCACTGTGCAGGAGGCTGCCATTGTGCTGGCCATGGTGCTGGGTAACGGTGATGGTCCTGGGTCGATGAAGAGCTTCTGCTCCTACTGCTGCAGGACCTTAGACTCTGAAGTATCCATGAAAGATCTCACAGGAGTGTATTTTTAGGCACTGACTGTTGGCACCTAGGACTTAAGGACTGATGAAGATACTGGGCCTATCCCAGCACCATAGTCAGCTTTCCCCTCAAAGGCACGAATTCCCCCTGGGAAGAGAGAACAGTGCCAAGAGGTGGAGCAGCTCTGTAGCTACATTGAAATCTCTGGAGTCAAAGGGAGGTGGAACTCATGGGTAGGTTCTTGTGAGGCTGGACTTGGCAATCCTTCCCTGTGGGCAGGAGTCGACTTGAAGGAACGGAGAAGGGGGGTGGGTCGGCAGGGCTCTATACTGGGCACAATGCAGGCATAACTCCAGGAGATGTCTAGACCTACCTACAGGTAGCTGCTGCTAGGGGAAAAATCTTCTGGCTACCATGCACATGAGTGCATGGATACCTGAGTGGAATGCACATGAACCAGCAGTCGAAGAAGTATTATTTTAAAGTGATGCAAAATTAAGCATAATAGTAAAAAAGGCACTTACC